TAACGTTTCGCCAGCACCTGTGACTGGCCTCTTCAGAGGGCAGGAGCACAGACAGGAGCAGTTCTCTCTGTGCCCAGGATGATGTGACCCTGTTGTATTTATATTGATCAGCGAGGATGCCTGAAGGGGGGGGGGTTGGGTTAACGAGTGGCTGCAGATGCTGGCGAAACGTTAGAAAACAAAACTTCCAGAACACGGCCACGCAGCCCGGAAGACCCACGCCAGCCATCATGGAACTTTATTTTTGTATATGAAAAAGATGGTGGAACACACTGAGATGGCCAAATTGACTTCTTTGAAAAGACACTATGTTTATTGAAGACTGGAAACCCCTAATGAACTTTTTGTGTAAAACAGAAAAAAAATGAACTTACGATTTATGGTTTTGAGGATTAGAGAAATCATAGAAAGAAGAGAGTTATATTGTAACAATAGAGTAAGGGGTAAATTTATAATTGTACTTATAACTGCTGTAAAGATCGGAAGCCACTTTGTATCTTTTTCTTTCTTTTCTATTTTTCTTTTACTTTTTTTTCTTGCATTTTTAGCTCTCTTTGATTTCTTTTTCTTTTTTGTTCCTTACTTTATATTAGTTTGTATTAGCTTTCTTCTTTTTTAAAACCTTTAATACATTTATTCTTTTTTACATTACATTAATTACATTAATTATCTACATTAATTCTTAATTACATTAATTAATCTACATTAATTCTTTTTTAAAACCTTCAATACAATATAAAAAACACTGTAAATATCCTGCTCTCCTCTGCCAGGAATAGGCCTTCAGCAAGAAACCCTTCTCTTTTTAGGGAAGGCCAGAAAAGGCCCTCGAAAGCTCATCTCCCAGCTGATGAAGACAACTGTGCTTTGCTTTCCACATGGTATTTCTTCAGAATCTCTTTGCCATATAAAAAGCCTGAGAAATGGCAGGCTCATTAACCCATACACCAAGGAACCTAGGGGCCAGCCTTCCTCACTTGCCTGGTTGCCATCTGCACCCACCCAGAAGCAGCCCAGGCAGTCACTCACGTGAGAAAACTCAGGCTGTGATGGTGTGGGGATGGACTGCAGCACAAAAGCATCTTGAGAAACTGGAATGGATGCCTCAAGAGCGCCTGGAGTCTTCAGTGGTGCATCTTCCTGCTTTCCTGGTTAAAATGGTGAAAGAGTGGAGGTTAACTATGCAGAGTGGAGGTTAACCCCTATAGAAAACAGGAAAGACTTATTCCTGCAGTTAAGAGCAAGAGAGCCTTATGGTAAAGAAAGGAAAAGAATGCTGACTGATTCACTCCAAAGTTTAAGAAGAGGTCAGTCCTCAGCCCCTCTTCCCCCTAAGAACAAAGGGGAAAGCTAGGACATTCCCACTGTAGAACCATAACCCAATCTCTCTGGCAAAGAGATGACATACCTTCAGCCTCCTGTTCAGTTGGGCTTCTTGGAACAATACAAGGCACTGGCTGTAAGACTTCAGAAGTTGTTCTAGCACGACCTGAAGCACAACTAAGGGGGAAGAGAACAGCCCACAAATGAAGACTTCCATCTGCACCCCACCCCTCTACTTCTACCAACAAAAGGCAGATGAAAGGCTAAGAGCCAAGTGCGGTCAGAGGCCTCAGTCATGGCAACAGCTTTCCTCAGCGGAGTTGTCCAAGCCATCTCAAAGCATGAATGTTCTGATCGCCAAATCTGCCATTCCAACTTCGAAATGTGCTGGAAGTGTTCTCAAGTTTTAGAGTCAACCTTGAAATATTTTGCACACCTCAACTTTTCAGAGAAGAGCAAGAACCCAATCAAAAGCATGGAGCACCAAAAGGAGAAAGAAGGAACAGCAAGCAAAGCAACTGATTAAAAAAAAGAATCGTTCTGAAAGACACACACCCATTAAGGGATTTCAACAGGAGAGATAAATGATAAAGCATCAGTCAGAAAAGAAAAGCAATTATGGCAAGATTTCTACTTACTTGGAAAGAGGCCCTTGTCCAGAGAGGTGAAGGACCTGCAGAGGATCAGCAGGAGTAGATAATGGAGAATTTGCCTCTTCCAGCCTAGACATGGCACAACCATTGTCTGGAGCTATTCCAACTGAATTAAAACATGTATGATACCTTCAGCCACACACAAGTCACTTTGAAACCCATGTCCCAGCTACCACTGCAGCTTTCCTGCGCCCACTCCAAACTGCAAAAGACCCTTTACGCTTCACATTGTGCAGGAAAGTGACTGCCAGGAACAACGTGGCTGGAAAAGGCTTCCATTCTCCAGCATTCAAGAGGGGTCCCCCCTCCCATTTCCTTTACATAAATCAGCTGAAATCTCTCCACCTGGAGAGGCTGATTTCTGGAAACTCAGTCAGCTGCTACTGGAAGGTCAGTTGGTGGTTTAGTGCCCGAGAACTGCAGCTCTCAAGATGCCACAGGAAAATGACAAGAATCTCTCTGCTCTGAGAAACCCACAGCCCTGCCAGTTACTTCACTCAACATGGCTAATCCAGGTCACAACATACTCAAAGCTGTCTGTCCAAGAAAAGAGAGTAATGTTACAATATTCACATTGTAACAACCTGTGGTTACAACAATAAACTTATTTACTTACTATATTGAAAAATAGACATTTTAGTAATGCAACAAGTGCAAATGGGCATTGAACATTTTATCTTAAATGAAGCCATTATGCTTTCATTTCTGCCCTTGCACAGGAAGCGTGGGTGTGGCATTCACCGACCACTCTCCAAGAAATAGTAGGTGGGAAAGGACCAATGCTAAATTTGCTTTTATTCCGTTTACATTTTGCTCGTAAGACAACCACTATATTTGCTAAGTTTCCTACCATCCTACTTAAAATTATGATTCAGTTAAAACTTGGTCTACAAAAAAGAGTTGCTTCTGGGGCCATATGTGGCCTTAGACCTCAGACTGCACTCCTCTGCTAGGTATAATACACTCCCCAAATACCTGGATAAGCAAAGCTGCAACAAACCAGGACACCCTGACTTCAGAGTGGGAATGGTGGGCACAGAAGAGCCTACTGCCTCTCTTCACCTGTTGTGCTGTTCTGGTCAAACATATCCTCCTGCGTAGAAGACACAGGCTCAACATCCTCTAACGGCTGAGGAGGAGGACTCTTCACGGGTGGCGTTTTCTCAAGGAGGGGGCAGGCAGAAGCTGGGCTCTTGGGAGTTTCTTTATGGAGCTGCATTATTCCAGGAACATGGTTGGATTCAAAGCCTGAACTGGGGAATTTAAATGCAAATATTTCTCACAGCCCAGCATATGTATCAAATGTAAACAATGATATTTGGTATCAAATGTAAACATTTCTGTAAACGTGTATTGTTATAGATTTTAATTGTATATCTATTTATTGTTTTAATATGTTGTGAGCCGCCCAGAGTCCCCCATTGGGGGGAGATGGGCGGGGACAAGTTTAATAAATAAATAAATATCAAATGGTAACTTTTCAGGTAGTCCAAACAAATGGTATATACATCAGATGTACAGGCAGAGAATTTGGGCTTTTCAATCCCAAGTAATTAGAAAGCTGAAAATTTGGCCCTCTGTGGACGGATTAAGGGAAATAGGATCATGCGGCCCCAAGATGAGGGGAATTATGGTAACACAGATCAAGTCCCTGAAGGGATGCTACACAGGTCAACATCTCCTCTCCTTCATCCCAGGATGCAGAATAACACAGAATAATGATGATCCTAAGTTACAGGAAGGCAATTCCAGGTGAACATTAGGAAAAGCATCTTAATGACAGCACTAGCTAGAACAGAGAAACTCTCTACCTATGAAGATGCAAGCTGTCCTTCCCTAGCGAAACGCCTTAGTTTGTGCAACTGCACAATTCCTTCCAGCTCTAGAATTCTATTATATCTCTCATAAGGAGTGTTTCTGCTCACCAGAGAGCAAATGCAAAGCACCCGGAAGCTTCAACAGGTCCAGAATGCAGCAACATGGGCAGCAATGGGCATGCCTTGGTATGCCCATGTAACACTTCTGCTTAGCAAATTGCTCCAGTTGCCAGTTTGCTTCCAGGTCTGATTCAAGGTGCTGATCGCTAACTATAAAGGCCTACACGGCACAGGGCCTGGTTACTTGAGATACCGCCCATCTCCCATAGTACCTGCTCAGCTGGTCCCATCTGGCATGGTTGGTGCACTCCAGGTTCCTCCAACAATGTAATTTCTCAGGACCCTGCAAGCATGCCTTCTCTGTAGCAGTGCCTGCCCTCTGAAATGAGGTTTTCTCCAGAGAACTGGAAGGCCCCCACCCTGCTGTGGTTTGGAAGGCTGTGAAGACCTGGCTCTCCCCCCAGGCCTTTGGCAGGAGAGAGTGATGGCCCTTTCCTTCGTTCCTGTCCAGTTTGTCATTCTTGACATCTTTTTTTAAAACCCTGTTATTAATTGTATTTCTGTTTTAGTTGTTGTGAGCCACCCAGTTGGGCAGCATACAAATTTGATAAATATTTACCCTTCAGGATAATCACTCCTGGATTTTCTCACTGCATCCCAGCCTGTTTTATCTTGGTCTGCAGGTAGAACAGAGAAAGAACGAGGAATAGATGCTTGGTTATGAAATATGTAACTGCCCACAACGGCTTCACTAGAACATAAGGACACCTGATTTCAGACCAGAGCAAGTCAGCACCAACCCAAAGGGTTCGCCCACAGCCTCTCCCCACTGCCTTCCAGTGACCCTGCTCAGGAGAGCAAAGCATAAGGACAGATGTGAAGTGTGCCAGGGATGCGCACATATTTAGGCATCCCCAAATGGAGTTTTGTGGCCTCACAATCGTTTTGAGACCAACCATCGTGCTATTAACAAAACTAGTTGTATAGGCCAGAACAGCCTGTGGGCCTCAAAGCTGAAAATCTTATCACAGCTTAAACTAAAGTTTCAAATGATGCCATTGCCTACATTTTAAATCAATCCTTCAAAGACTGTGATGCCAAGAAACTGTTCTCTGTCTGAAGAGGGTCATCTTTTTAAGCAGAAACATTTGCAAACTGCTTAGCAGGAGAAACTGTCCCCCCTAATTGCTGCTGTGGCAGGCAGGGTAGCCCAATTTTAAAAAGGGCACAGGAGTGCCCCCCACTAGAATGGTTCTTCAGGGGACCTTTCCCCACTGCCCAGGTAAAGTCCTCCAGACCCATCACACGGGTACAAATCTTGCAGTCCCCACCCGCTTTAACTGCCTCTAGCTCAGCCGCTGCCCAACCCCACGTCCTGATTCCGTGGGTGCAAGTAAAGCAAAGCGGTAGGTTCCTGGCTTGTCACCCCCAGCCACGAGCGCGATGCAGGAACGGG